ACAATTGGGTATGAAATGTTCTAAAATTTTTATCAAATTTTGATCGAAATATATCCCAAATATGTTGATCATCATCTACCGATAAAAATTTCATTATTACTAATTTTGTAAATAAAAATGAGATTACAACTATTAGAGTATGTTTAAATATTAATTTAAATCGATTTGTGATAGATAAATAGGATGATGTTAAATGATCAATAGCATATACAAGATAAAATGTAATAATAACTTGTGAAAATAATGATGTTAATAACATTCGATTTCCAAACATAAATAATGTTGTTAATAGTAATGATAATGTTTGAATACAATTCAGAAAAAGAAGTTTCTCTAATGAAATAAGATTTAAAATGTATAATAGACCAACTGATAATAATTGAGTAGCCATTGTAAATTGAGCAACTAAAATAGAGTGGGAATAATGATTAAATGATATGTTCGTAGCTTCTCAAAAGAGATACAAATCCATATTTTAGAATGTATCTGTTTTAATCCATGAAAAAGTATCTCTTTTGAGAAACAAATATTTTGGCAAGAAATTGCGTTTCTCAAAAGAGATACATTATCTCTCATTTCTATATTCCAAATAAAAATGAAATTAAATAAGAGGTAGAAGTAATCAAGATTATCTTAAGTGAGAATTAGTACTTATATTTAAAAAATAATTCTTTTTCAAAAAGTTGTTAAATTTGTCAACTGTTTGTAAATCGTAAATGTCAACTGTTGTTTCGAAATGTTTATAAATGATACTGCCTACTCAAAGCAATGTTCTCTCACTCTTCAAAAAACTATCATGGATTTTGTATGAAAGTGAAGTCAAAAAGGCGCTTCTGGCATATTGTTAAAAAAAAAATCAGTTTTGATGTCAACGTATAAATAAAAATAATTATTTAGAAGTGTTTAAGAAAGCTCGTGGTTCGAATATTAACACGGATGAGGATGAAGACAACGTGTAAACTTGTAAAATAGATGCACAAACTTCAGAGTGATAATCACGCTAACTGTCACTTACGAGAGTATCTCGCGAACTGTCACATCGCTTTTTCTGCCAAATCTAGTGGGATATAGGTTATCAACTATGCTGAATTCGAATAGCATAATGGTAGCTGCCCAGGAGACTTTGGAGAGCGGTTTTCTGGAAAACCAGTTTTTGAGAAACTCTAAAAAATAACCAAAACCTTTCTTAATGAGGCACAATTTTAGCCCGCACATTTCTGATTAAAATGAGACGTCTCCCAGCTCTACACAACCTTTCTTTGCAAAGTTATAGAATTTACAAGAAAAGCCATAAATTAATTTCTTCTTATTTCTATAGCTTTGAGCTGTCAATGAGCATTTAGGGCTTTTCTTGTAAATTGTATAACTTTTCAAAGAAAGGTCGTGTAAAGCTAGAAGATGTCTTATTTTAATCGGAAATGTGCGGTCTACAATTATGCCTGATTAAGAAAGGTTTTGGTTATTTTTTAGAGTTTCTCAAAAACTGGTTTTCCAGAAAACCGGGTCTTCAAGGATCATAGGGAAAATCCTTTTAGGCGTTTTACTAGTTCGATACCCTTTATCGATCGACGTATGAACGAAATCGGAAGGTATTATTCGGATAGGTTTCCTCGTAAGCCGGCTGAAAAATGTTTTTTCTTATTTAGCAGTTGCTAGCTTATAGTGTTAATTCAGGCTAGAAAATAATTCGTTTTTTGATCCGATGCATCTTCACCTAGCTGTAGTATTTCTATGATATCCACTAATGTCCGTGACAGTGGACGTTGGGTCTTAAAGGGTTAAATTAGATTGATATTCCATTGTTTTTAATGACACGTGAAGACTGTCATTTTCTACACACTGCGTGTAAGATGTGTTTAAAAGAAAATATACATATTTTTCAAGAGAGTTAAATGTCATTTAAGTGTATTTCTCTGAGAGTGTCATACTTGGTTTTATTGCTAAGAAATACATTGTGAAAATATTTGCAAGTGAGGAAGTATTTACAAGTGACTGATACTTGTAAACATTTTAAAAAATGATTATTGCATGAAAAAGAACTTGCTTATCACTGTTTATTCATCTTCTCTCATCCTCTGCTCTACCATTGTACTAACTTGTTCTTTTTTAGATTATTTTAATTTCCATTACATTTATTACTATATCCATTAGAAATCTTTTCTTATTACCCAAAAATGGAAATTTCAGACAGTTATTAACAATAAGGATATAACCAACAATGGAATGTGAAATGTCTTTTCTTCATTCTATGATTTTATACATTTCTAACGGATACAGTGCTAAATGTTAACTTCTCCAGTAGTAGAAATTATAATAATCTATATGATTTTGTCTTCTAAAAGAATTTAAAATATTTCTATAGAATAGACGAATATATTCATTATCCTTCTCATATGGACTCTCAAAATCTTTGCATAATTATAATAGTAGAAATACTTACATTGCCATGGTAATAAATACAATATTGATGTAATACTAAGCAATAGAATTAATTGAATTTTTTCGATTTTTTGTTGTGATAGAATGGAAGCATCATTTTTCAAGTTATTATTGGAAGATTCTACTTTTAATTGACGAAATGTTAATGGTTTTTGTAGAACGTATGTGAGAGCAAATAATTGAATAACATGAAATGGAAATGAAAAACTTTCACGCAATGGAGGTGTCCTAAACAGAGAATAAACAATGAGAAGAAAAAAAACAACAGAGTAAACTACTTTATCAATTCAAGGTATAAGAACTAAAGATGAAACGTTTTATTTTAACATGCTCAATTGTTTATATTTATACGCTCGAGAAAACGCTAATAAAACAAAAATGGTTTAGTCGATTGAAATGAATCATCTATCAGTCAGGTTAAAGCTGATGACATTTCGCACAACGGTGCGAGGTACTCTTAAAGAACGTACGGTCAGAACCACGCTTTTTGTTCTCTACTTTTCAATAAAATAAAAAGTACATATCGTTTGAATTAGTCTTGAAAATCCAGTAATAAATTCAAAATTTATTGAGACATTTAAAAATAAATACGAAAAATATTTTCACGCCACATCCCGTTTTGTCTGAGATACGAAAGGATTAAAACTCAGAAATAATTAGTGATCAACGTTAACAGTATTTCAACTGATCTGAATCATCAGATTTCTTTTGTCATCAACTTTTCTATAAATTTGAAATGAATGAGTTCTCATAACTATCATTTGTTTTAACGAAATATGTAAAAAATTGTTCAACAAAAAGTATTCATGTCTTACCACATCACTCTTGTTGCTTCGCCATGATTATAAAAATAAGCTGCCGTAGTCAATAATCCTCCATAGATACTTTGAGATAAATATGTTGCAAATACAAATAGAGTAGATAATAATAGACCATTTAATATAAATACACATGTTACATAAAAATAAGTTGGCTCTTTATGACCTTCACATGAAAGGACTGGTGGCATTGTTTGACCACGTTCAGTACGATAACATGTTTGATGTAAAGAACCTCTGAAAAAAGAAAAATATACTTGTTTTTATCCATTGATGTGAATAATTCAAGAGTTTAGATGCACAATTCAATATTCATAGGGTGTCTCAATTAGAAGATATATTAATACTGTCATTAGTTGCATGGCATAATAATTCTACTATTCGGATCTGTTTTTGATCTTTTTATGACAGATGGGAAAACTATACTTCGATGTAAAAGTGAATCGTCATCTAACATACCTTGAATCTAAATATCGATAGATTAGACTCAATATTACTTCTGGATATAAATTGAATCTTTCAAGAACATTAATTATTGATGGAGCTTCTGTTCGATTATCATGGACAATTGATTGAAATCCATTTAAAAATGTTTTTGATTCAATTAATTGTTTAAAATAAGAATAGTATAAACCCATTTCTGTTCGAAATGAGAGTTCACGTTCCAATGTTGATAAATGTGAAAAATGTTTATCATTCTCAAATAGAATATATACATATTGAAAATGAATATATCCAATTAATACTGCTAATATTAACACAAATAATATATAAAATAATGGAGATTGAACATAAGATGAGAACAGTGAGGATTCTTGCGATAATTGACCAGGCTGAAAAAGAAAAAAGAAATAAACAAAAATTAACATTGTACTGTGCAGTGAATAGAATTTACACAGAGAAATACAGTTGGCATAAGGCATAGTAACGGGTGACCGAGAATAAATGACGGTCTCAGTATTTTGCTTATAAATTGGTTTGGATTTGTTTCCGAGACTCGATGTTTTTTTTAAAGATGCGCTGTGAAATACTCTACAGAACTATACCCAAACTATAATTTCAGAACTTTAATCAAGAAAACTAAGCCAATTAGAAATGAAAACAAATGAAAACTTTCTAAACTCAAAACTTTTCTTCTGCTACTATTTCCTCTAAAAAGTGCAGCAAAAGTGAGAACTCAGTTTATGTTTGGTACTTTCAAATGTGCTCTTTCTTGTAGTCTGTAAAAAAATTTTGTTAGAGCAGATGGTGTGCTGGAGAACGAAGTTACAAAAATACGTCAAAAGTTGACAACCTCCCGTTTTCAACAATATGCTCAAGCAAGACACGGAAAACATCATTGAAGTTTTGGTTTTGCAGTTAGACAGAGAAGAGCAATCATATCTGATCAAGAGAAAACAAACTCGATCGAAAAAGCTTTTTATTTTGATGGAGTTATGGGACTTTTACTGAAAGCACTACTATACCCAAAATTTAAAAAATTAATGAAAAAATGCATGACAACCGACAGAAAAACTATTATTTCGCCGTGGCTTTTGATGTCAAAATTTGAAGTGTAGCTAAAAGAGAGAACGAAGTCAGGGCTACAAAATGGCTCATTTAGTTTTTCTTACTTTCAAAACGTTAACACAAGAAATCATTTTTGAGCTTGGAAAGTTTCCATTTTTTTCATTTCTAATTGGCTTAGTTTTCTTGATTAAAGTTCTGAAATTATAGTTTAGGTATGATTTTGTAGAGTATTTCGCAGCGCATCTTTTAAAAGAAACATCGAGTCTCGGAAACAAATTCAAACTAAGTTATAAGCAAAATACTGAGACCGTCATTATTCTGGATCACCCGTTAGATGAACATCGCCCGTAATGCCATTAATGGGACGAACAATGAGTACACAAATGATTAGTTACTTATTTTTTACCTCAGTATTTGATCGATCATTGCTGACTTTTGTTGTTGATGACGATTTATTTGTTGAACGGCGATTACGCACAGTAGAAGGACGAGTCATCCGTTCTTACTAAAAGTCTATGGTAAAACAATAATCTAAAATAAAACAAACGGAAATAAAAAAAAAGAATTATATGCTATGTAGCTAAAAATTCGAATGTAAAATCAAACAAAGCAGAATGAATTCGTTTTATTAACGAAATAATGATAGTTAGTTTATTTTGTGGCTAGAGCAATTAAACTAAATCTAATATCACCATTCATTTCATTTACTTTATTTTTGACAATATCACCTACTTCAATTAAAAACTTATTTTTATCTTTAAGATTTTGACAAATTATGTATGGTTTCTCTTTACATCCATCTAATTCGACTAACGAATTATTTACAATAGTATAAGCCACATAATGAAACTCGACATGATCATTTTGCGCTTCTGTACTTCCACGTTGGGCATATTTAACATGACATGAGCGAATATTTTCATCATTTACTAATACATTTGCACGTTCAATACCAGATTTACATTTGCTTGTTTTACTAAAGAAATTAGATAATAACGATGTTGGTATTAAATCAATTCGATTCAAATTGTTCCCTAGAAAAAACATCAGAGATCATTTTGATGTGAACGAATGTTATTCAGATTATAAGACTCTGTATTATCTGTAGTACTTTTTTTATAAGACAATTCTTTTTGTTTATACCTAAACAGTGTAATAATGCTATAAGACCACAAGCATTTCCTAAAGTATTGATTTGTTTTAAAAACCAAACATCAAATTTTAAATCATTTTCGTCTTTTTCTTGTTGTTTTGTTGATATATCTGGATATAGAAAAATACATCCAAATATGTTAGGATATTCTTCTGATGTTTGTTTTAATGAATCATAGTCGAGACTATATAGTTCAATAAATTGTAAAGAATCATTTTTAACACCTAGACATTCTAAATATGACTGCCATATTTCAGAATCCGATTCTAATGGAAGCCAACATGATGAATCAGACATTACTTTCTACAATGAAAAAAACGTAACATTCTTTAATTATCCACTAAAATAATTGTAGTATAATCTTCTGTATGATAGAGAGTGCCACAGAAAAAATATTAATATAGTAACATTCTTTAATAACTAACTAAACAGACTACTATCTTGTAAGAAATGACTTTTGTCAAAATGTGCTCAGTTTTTTCAAAACAAAGTGCATACCTTTTTGTACAAAAAAATCATTGAAACAACGAATTACTGCGATAAAAACAACAGTAAAGAGACACACACATACACCTTGAAACAGAATAAGTGATAAGATGATAGTATATCACATTGAGTTATGTACAGAGAAAACAAAAAAAACATGCAAATATCGAGAAGATCGATAGTTTCACCAAAAAAAGAAGTTAGTTACAGACAATTGAAAGAGTACATGCACAAGATAAAGAAAATATGTTTACAATTCAAGACCATAATCATATTTTCGTGCTAATGTTACTTTTTCGCGCGTTTTTTTGCCACTTTTTTTCTAATTTTTTTATTAATGTTTTATAATCTTCGAATTTTTCTGTAGAATTATTCAAATGATCTACAATATTTTCGTCATTTTCTAGTTGCATCGATTCTCTAAGATCTTGTTCAATTGTAATCATTAATTGTTTTAATTTTGAATCGTTTTCATTTTCTTTCGCCATTAATTGTTTTAATCTATCGTTCTTTTGTTTTATTTTTAATTGTTGAGCTTCTTTTAACGCTATTTGTTCATTTAAATTTGTTAACGTTACTTTTAATTGACGAACTTCTTGTTTTTGTTTACGATATAAATCTAAACAAATATATCACAGTGTAATCTAAATAGAGCATCTACTGATCTAGACTACTGTGTACATAAGGCTCATTTTTTGAATTAAAAATGATCTTCTCATTTTGTCATCCCTTGAACTTCACGATCATATAGAGAACGTTTTACTATATATACTCTGAAAGTTTTTTGAAAATAAGATATTTGTAGCGACGCTATTTATGAAGTTTTATGTGACCAAAAAGCAATGATAGAACCGTACAAGAATGTTACTTTATATCGTTTTTAAATTTTCTCATAAATTTTCGAAATCGGACTAGATGAAATTTGTTTTGGGTTGCCAGAATTGCCGAAGGACATATTTCTCTACAAAATAAGACGTTGACGAGTTCTGTATGAGTTTTGCTTGTAATTGTGTATTCAGAAAATATTCGAATCAATATAGAGTAGTTTTTCTTGTTCAAAAATGGTTATAAATTGTCTTTTTCAAAGAAAACGAGGACGAATTTCAATGTTTCAGTAACTTAGTTATTTAATCTAATTAGATATTTCATTATTTTAGCTCAATTTATCCACATTTTACGGCTTATTTTGCTATAAAAAAAGACTCTGGCCTATTTGGGATTGACTAAAAGAAAGATTTTGAATGGAAAATAGTCGAAGATACGAAATCTCAGAAGTAAATTCTCAAGAGCATAGAGAAGTGATTGTGATATTTGTAGCAGAAGTGAAGGTAATATTGACCATGGCGGTAGTTCTCAAGTGTTAACTCAAAACCCTGATGTTAGAGAGAATTTACAGCCTGGAATTGGAAGAAACCATTTCTTCAGAAACCTTGTCGAAAATTTTCTACCAGGACGATAATATTCTGGGGTAAAAGAAAATATTCACAATCTTCTGAAGAGAAACAATAAGATTTTTTTATTATGCAGAACGAAAGTCTTGAAATATAAGAAAACAAAATGTTTTAGGCTAAATTTCAGGATTTTTAAAAAAGAGTTCGACTCGAGCGGAAGAAACAAAAGTTTATCGGCACGATTCAAGATGTGGTCAACACTATTGCTTGCAGAAGTTTCAATCAAACTTATAGAGAATTCCGAATATTTGGTAAGAACTTTTGAAAACACTTCTTTCTACAGCAGACTTAACCGGAAAAAACTCTACAAACACTTTTTATGCAGAAAATATTTCAGAATATATGTACATCAACGAGTTTTATAACATATCTCAAAACGAAGAGGGTTATCCCTCGTCATTCCCTCGACATTCTAAACGGTTCTTTTTACCTAAAAATTGTTCTGTAAATATTGGCACATGATCATTTTGATGAGACGATGATGGTTGTTTCTTAGCTGATGTATTTGTCTTAGTGGTATTCGCCGACGATAATCGTTTCGCAACAGGTGTCTTTTTATCGGTTTTCGGCTTTTGTTGTTTGGGCGTTGATGTACCAGTTCCATTTTGTTCTTCTTGCTGTTGTTTTTTAGATTTCCTTGCTATTTTTGGTTTTGTTACAGTCTTCGTTGTTAATTTTGCTGGTGCAGATTTTCGGCTTGTTGTGGGAGTGCCTGATGGCTTCATGTTTCGTCAAAAAAAAAGGTGTTTACAGATAATCTGAAAATAAATTAACAAAAAATGACAGAAAATATTCAAATACATATCTGACAGCTAGGTCTGCACAAAATCTAAATTTTCAACAAACTTCTGCAACAGAATTGATGACGTTCACAGACCTAAAAAAGAAGCATCTCAACCAGTCAGTCAACGCGGTGTCCCAGTCTAAATCGCAGCAACTAGCTCCCTTAAATTAAGTTAATGAAAATAGTGATTACACTTCTCTTCCCCCAAATAGAAGGCCAGTCTGGAGCGAAAATTTTTGAAAAAAAATAGAGACAGGACAGTTTTACACCCAAAAAAGTGTGATGTACGAAAGCATAATACAAGGCCATGGCCTTTTATTCTGGGGGGATAGAGCTAACTGTTGTAGAGTTGCTTCTTTGTAGTCAAGATCACAGTGATGCAAAACTGTAAAATAAAATCAAAAGTTCACTGTTTTCAATTTTTAGGTGCTCTTTATGTTAAAAGTACCCCTCAACTGTTGGACTGCTTCGATCGACCTGAAACGCAAAGTTAACGAGATCTACAAAGGCACGAAATAGACTGCTAGAAATATAATGAACTTAAAAACGAAAACCAGCATATTGAAACTTTAAGGCAGTTTTTTCAAGAAAATTAGATTTTCTTCTATATTGCGAAAAGGTACTTCTTTACAACACATTAAAGTTCGAAACTGACGTTCGCATTTGAAAGAACGATTCAGAGTAGAAATGCTGCTTCTATTATTTTTGTTTATACAACATCTATGCAGATGAAAAACTTCAAATTAATGGAAAAAACTTCACAAGAATGTTGCGGTGAGGCTTATGAAGAAAATATTTCAGTGCATCCTTGTAGTTCGACTTGTTTAATCTATGAAAGAACCAAAGAAGAAGAATACCGAGGTAGTGGAAGAAAGTTGTGTTCCTATACTTTAGAAAAGCGGACAAGGCAAAGTTTCTCTTCATTTTTATCGAGGAAATTTTTTCTACTACTTTAGAAAACACAAAATTTTTTCGAAAACATCTATCTCGTAGAAAACTTACAATATCCACGCTTTCTCTTCGGATAATATTTTCATCAACACGCTGTTAACACTAACCAACTAAGTGTGCAGCTTCAGATGTCATTTGTTAAACGATCAGTAAATCATAGTACATATTTGCTTCACAGTCTTCTCACTGATAAATTGTGAGCTCACAAAAAAGTAAAGAAGAAATTAAAAAATAGTAGTACAATGTGCATCTTTCTGACTATCTGATACCCAAAACATACAAAGAAAAAAAGCATGACTTCAATTTTGAATGAAAGAAAATTCTCAGTTGTACATTATGAACACAATAAATAGTCGAATATTGATGGTTCACAGGAACAAAATCAAGGACGAAACAGGCAAAAGTTTTTATTGGATTTCTGCAGTATCGGAAGCGAAAAAGGAAACTAAAAACCAAACTTGCGCTAGTTATTGTTTGAGTAGTTTATTATCATTATTCACGAACAGTGAGAGTCATCAGAAGTCCTCGACCTGTAATAACAATGACTCGAGTCAAACTCTAAGAATTAAATAGAAAAAAATAAAAGAAAAACGAAGCTAGCAACATAGAGATCAAAGAATTAGCAGTTTACTTAGAATAATAAACAAATGAGGAAACGAAACGAAAACAGGTATTACGATTGTATATTTAAAACATTAGACTGTGATGTGTATTAGGTGACGGGGGACAATTTTTTAAAAAAACTTTAGCAAAACTTAAGTGAAAAATTCGTCTTAAATCAAATTTTTTAGCTAAGTATGTTTCTCAAACATTACTTAACTTATGTTAAGTCAACTCTCGATTTCACTTAAGTTTTCACTTAAATTTTTAAGTAGAAAATTGTTTAAATTTTGTAACTTCTCTATTTGAAGTCAGTAACCCATCCAACCCACCATAATTAGACTGAACATAATTTTTTAGAGTTTTTGTTCAGAAAACTGCTGTAAAATAATCTAAGTAGTCTAAAATACGAATGGTTTTTACTGCATGACCTCACGACCATGGTTTTTACTGTTGTTCCAGCAGTAATACAATATCCTAATTCATTAAAATCAAACGTTATAATTATGATATTTCTTTGACAGATGCTACACTTTGAATACACTCCTAATGAGCTTTCCATTCAAAATCTCAAATTGTAAGCACCGTCCTTGAGTTGCTACAAGCTTTAGTCTGGCAGAATACTAGCGGAAAAATTCTTTCCATTATAGTATTCTAAACTAAAACTATCGAAAAACACAAAACAAATTTTGTATGAATTCATAGGTTTTTCACAGGTTATTTCGTCGTGTTTCCAGCCGAATTCTTAAAAGAAGAATCACACTTAAACATAACGCTGATAAACTTTAAAAAAAATAAAACATTACAGCTTGTATCTGGAGTAACATTTATTAAAAAAGGAACACCTGATCATTTTGTAAACAGATACTGCATCTCATAAAAACCTTCTGGAAATAAAAAAATATTATGTTACTCCATCTAATACATTAATAATAACTCTTCTAAAAAAAGCGGATTTCACGATTTTATGTTTTAGTACATCCAGCATATTCACCGTTGTGAGACGTTACCTGCCAATAACAGCTGACAAACATGGCAGCAGTCAAATGTTGTTTCCTTTTAGCTCCAAATAAAATAGTAACTCCAAGGAGAGACTATATACGTCAGTTTGCATTAATTCTGTGCTGGCACCTTGGAGCTACCGATACAATGTGGAGCTAAAAAGAAATAACGGTCGTCGAAATTAGTAAAAACGAAAAAAGGGTTCGTATTTTATTTGTCAAAAAGTTTCAGTTTTATTGACTAAAAGAAATAACGTATTACTCTAAAGGCAACAGATGGCGTCTCATTACAAATCTCTGGTGATTTTTCTCGTTCTGCTTGACTTTATTACACTATATCAGATAGCAGAGCATGAAAAGCTGAACAAGATGACGTACTTTTTACTCTTAGCAAAGTAGTTTTGAGGACGAAATATGCTGTTCCACAGTTTCGTGAAATTTCATATTTTTAAAGAAAAATCAGTATAAAAAAAAACACCCAAATTAACGGCTGTTGGCCAAACTATGCAGTTTTTTATACTCGATTCAATGAAACCAAAACTGCAGCTTAGTCTGCTTTCGTTAAGTCGAAATTTAGATTTTAAAATGTTTTGACTTTTGCTAGAACTGAAAATATCTGAAAAACGTTTAGCCCTCGCAAAAAAAACTCCGGATTCGGGTAGAGCGTAGAACTTTTACGTATCTGAGATGATCTCCAGTATCTGTTTTGAAATCGACTTTATCGAAAAAGAAAATCACAGACAACAATTTACTTGAGGTTGTATTTATTAAAAATACTCTTACACTGTCCCGAAAAGGCATGGTAAAAGCGTTCCAACACCATATTTTTCTTGACGACACGGCTCAAATGTGCCGATGGGATGGTCAAAAATTAACTGGTGCACTTCACTCATGCTATTGCGCACTTTGATCGTGCCGTTAGCACATTTGTTCCATGTTGCCAGGAGAAATATGCTGTTGGAACGAGTTTACCGCGCTTGTCGGCGGCATGCTTTGTTTGATAAAAACACAGTTTATTCTCGCAATTTTTAAAGCGTACTAGAAGCGCGTTTAAAATGTGAAAATAACACACCAAAAGTGTGCTGGAATGATCCCATACAAATTCAAAATTCGGCTAAATCAAACATAGTTTAAACTATGTTATGAAAATCGCGCGAAAATCGACGATTTAATCGCGATTTGTCATGCCGATTAATTGTGAGATTTTATCGCGATAAAATCGCTCAAACTCACGATTTTTTCATCACCAACCGGTTCGAGCGTTTTTTTCTTTTCGGTTTTCCTATTCTTAATTCTTATGTGATAAATATTGCATTTCATGAATGAATAGCAATTTCATGCCCGATATATCGTGAGATTATGTTATCTGGGCAGTTTTTATTGCTATTCTTTTCAAAACGAAAATATCAAAGTAAAAAAAACAAGTTGTTTTTGTTTACTAACTGTGTTTACTTAAGTTGTCGCCAGTTCAGAGAACACTCTAGGCGTGTCTCAAGAAACAATTGATCTAAAAAGGAAAGTGGTAATCTAAAAGAAT